TGAGGATGAGGATGAGGATGAGGAGGAAGATTGGGCGTCGGATTGGGCGTCAGATTCTGCTGCTTCTGCTTTTGCGTGGCCGTCGTTTGTTGTTGCTGTTGGTGCTGCTGCTGATGTTGTTGTTTACTGGCCGCCGCCACTGCCTTGGCCGCCGCTTTCTGCTGTTGCTGCTGCTGAATGAACTGCTTTGAGGCGTTGAGGATGGCCGTGGCCATTTGCGGGGGCAAATCGGTGGTCTTCTTAGCCGCCGCCGAGAGGACGGGCCCACTGCCGTTGAAGGACGGGCCCCCATTGACAGTGACCAGCGGCGGTTTCGCCGATGGTGGTGCGCTAGTTTTTGTTGCTAGTAGCTGCTGCTGACCAGCTCCTCCAGCCCTTCCCTTGGTGAGCATCACCCCTTTGGGCGTCGTCTTTGCAGCGGTGACAGAAGAAGAGGATGAGGCTAAGGATAGGGCTGAAGCTGAAGCAGGCGCTGAGGAAGAGGCTGAGGCTGAGGAGGTGATGGAGGTGAGGGGCTTCAAAGTGCCAGCTGCCCCACCGGCTGCCGATGATGTTCCACTGCTGTAGATGATCTTCACGGTGCTCATCGCAGCCGCCGCCGCCGCCGTCGTCGAGGCAGCCTTCGGTGCAGCCGCCTTCTTTACCACCGTGGTCTTTGACGTCTGCTGAATCTGCTTCACCGGCTGCACGCGCTTCTGTCGGGCCATCTTCAGGGCGGCCGTGCGGCACTGGGTGGCCAGCGCCTTGCGCCGCTCCTGCAGCTGCTGCCGACGGGCGGCCACCAGGCTCTCCACGCGACCGATGTCCTCGAGGACGGAGCGCCAGACGGCGAGGCGCTTCGCCGCCCGNACTTTGGGCGTCGTCTTTGCAGCGGTGACGGTAGAAGAAGAAACTGGCGCTGAAGAGGCAAAGGCCGAAGCTGGGGAAGCTGAGGAAGAGTTTGAGGCTGAGGCTGAGGTGATGGAGGTGATGGGCTTCAAAGTGCCAGCTGCCCCACCGGCTGCCGATGATGCTCCACTGCTGTAGATGATCTTCACGGTGCTCATCGTAGCCGCCGCCGTCGTCGAAGCCGCTCCCACCTTCGGTGCAGCCGCCTTCTTCACCACGGTGGTCGGCGTGGTCTTTGACGTCTGCTGAATCTGCTTCACCGGCTGCACTCGCTGCTTCTGTCGGGCCATCTTGAGGGCGGCCGTGCGGCACTGGGTGGCCAGCGCCTTGCGCCGCTCCAGCAGCTGCTGCCGACGGGCGGCCACCAGGCTCTCCACGCGGCCGATGTCCTCGAGGACGGAGCGCCAGACGGCGAGGCGCTTCGCCGCCCGTTCCTCCTTTCCTAGCTGCTGCTGCTGCTGCTCCAGTTGGCTACCAGATCCAGATCCCGATCCCGAGCCGTTGCTGTAGCTGTTGGGCGACCAGGATCGGTTGCTGGTGCTCTGGCTGCTCTGACTGCTCTGGCTGCTCTGGCTGCCGCCGCTGCTGGTCAGCAGTTGTTGGTTAAAGGCTCGCTTTCGATTCGATTTGCTGTTGTTGTGGTTGTTCCGACTGCTGCTGCTGTTTCGTTTTTGCCTCTTGTTTCCGCTTCGGCTAGTGATCTGCAGGCTGTCCTCGAGGACAATGTGCTCGGGAATGGTGACGTACTTGAGGAGGGGCGAGGGCGGCTGCGAGGTCTGCAGTGCTGACCGCTTGAAGACCTTTGCCGGCCTGGAAACGGCTGCTGATGGCTTCCGCTGCTTTTTAGCCGCCTGCTTTCCATTGACCACAGTGACCTCCAACTCCTCGACTTCCGGTTCCTCCTCCTCCTCCTCACTCTGCCCCAGCTCTCCCCAGATAGCCTTTTTGATGATGCGAGCTGATGCTACCTCGGGTGATCTCTTCTTGCGTTGCTTTTTCCTCTTCTTTGCTGGAGGCTGCTGATCGACAACGGCAGCGGCAGCGGCAGCGGCGGCGGAAATGCTCTGGTCGTTCTGGTTGTCGTTCTGGTTGTTCAAGGCGAGCGCAAAGACGGCGGACAGCGTTGAGGGCGTGATTTGGCCCGCCAGCTTGGCTGGCTTCTTCGGCTTCTTCTTCGGGCCTGGGCCGTCTGGAGTAGCTGCCTTGCTCTGCTGTTGTTTCTGCTTTCGCCCAGTCGCAGCCGCCGACTTTGCCTGCTGTTTGCCGTTTGCGGTTTGGGTGGCAGCAGCCGAAAAGGTTTTGGCGGCGATGTCAGCTGCCGCAGCCGAGCTGATGTCCACTAGGTCGGCTTTTGCGGGTAAAGCGGTGGTGATGGTGATGTTTTCGGTGGTTGGCTTTGCTGTCATCGCCGTCATGCTTGACAGATCAAAGGTGTGAAGCTTTTTGAAGTGCTGATTGTTGTTACTGGCAAGCTTTGAAGGCGATGAGGTGAGTGGTGTTGGCGGTGGTGTCGTCGTCATCGTCGTCATCGTGGTTGTCGAACTGCCATTTCCACTGCTGATGAGATTATTCAAGTTGCTGGCGGCGGAGAAGGTGGAGGTGCGCAGGGGAAAGCTGCTCGAGGCTGCGGTTCGCAGACCGCTCATCGACGGCGGCGGCATCAGCAGCTGGTCGTCCTCGCCGCCGCCGCCGTCCTCCTCCTCCTCCTCGTCGTCGTCGCTCTCGAAGAGCACATCGGGCAGCGAGGGGCTGATGGTGTTCAGGCCGAAGAACCGGGTCCGGGAGAAGGGCCCTCCGGAGAGCCATCCGAGATCTTTGCCGCTCAGTTTGCTGCCGTTGTTGACACTGACGCCGTTCTTGAGCGGCGTCGGCGAAGCGCCGGCCGGGACAAAGTGGTTGCTCACATTCGCTGTCATCATCACCCGAAACAGGTGGTGGTGGTGGTGATGACGGGGGTGATGGTGTCTTCAGCTGTCGATGTCGCTGCTGCTGCTGGTGGTGATTTGTTGTTGTTGATAGAGCAGAGTGTTGATAGACGTCGGAGTACTTTCTCTCACTTTTCTCTGTTGTGTTGCTGTTTGCTATTTGACGCAGGTGAAAGAAGAGAGAGCGCGCGGAGAAGCGAAGAGAGCAGGGCGCCGAGTCCGTCTCTCTCTCAGCACGAGGCAACACACAAACACACGCACTTGGCTGCTTTTGGGTCGGCGGAAAGCGTAAGCTTTCTACAGCTGGCGGTGCAGCAGCGCTGCTCTCATTGAGGGAAAGAGCCTTACGGCCTCGACGGCCCCAAAACAGGCACAACCAATCACAAAAGAAGCGCACACAAAGCAGCGGCAGCGGTTTGGTGGACGTCGTGGGGGAGCTCGCAGAGGACGTGCACTGCTGACTGGGGAGAAAATACGCGCGCAGATTTTTACGACTTTAGTTTTCTATACTTTGAATCAAAACGTTCAAGTATCTACAGAAGAAAATGATCATCAAATTATCAGCGAATGGTCACGCCCAACTGCTCGACCAGGGCGGNAAGAAAATAGGCGCGCAGATTTTTACGACTTTATTTTTTTCTACTTTGAGAATCACAACAACATTCAAGTATCTACAGAAGAAAATGATCATCAAATTATCAGCGAATGGTCACGCCCAACTGCTCGACCAGGGCGGCCTCGATCTGGCCGTGGACGACGTTCACCTCGGCGCTGGTCAGCGCCCGCTCCATGGAGCGGTAGACGATGCGGTACATGTTCGAGGTTCGGCCATCCTTGGGATGCGTCCACGCCTCCACCAGGTGCGCCTGCTCGACCATCTCGCCGCCGATGTCGAGGATGATGGCGTGCACGTCGTTGGCCGACCACTCCTGCTCCGAAGAACTGCTCTTCGTTTCCGGCAGCCAGAAGCTGATGTCGAAGACCTTTTGCGGGTAGACGCTGATCGGGCGGTAGGCCAGCCGCTGGAAGGGCTCCAGGTGCTCGAACTGGTGGAGGAAGCCGCTGTCCCGGCTCCAGAAGAGGCGAATGTCGGGGATGTCGTAGTAGAGCATGGCGAGGCGCTCCAGGCCGCAGCCCAGCGCCCAGCCGATCGTACCCGCCTGCCCGGTTCGATTTAGAATCTCGCGGTGGACGACGCCGCAGCCGAGCATCTCCATCCAATCGTCCTCGCTATTCTCTTCACCAGAATTTTTCGGCGAAGGCCTTCGAATCTCCAGCTCCCAGCTGGGATGGGTGAAGGGAAAGTAGGCCTCTACCCAGCGAGTTTCAGTGTCGGGGCCGAGCAGCCGGCGGATGTACGCCTCGACGCCCTTCTTCAGCTGCCGCTCGACGAACTTCGACGCCTCGAGGGAGTAGCCCGCCTGGACGGCTTCGGTTTGCTCGTGCTGAGCGCGGTCGAAGATGGAGGCGATGCCGGCGGCGGCCATCTGAAGAAGAAGGAAAAAGAAGTTCGAAATTAGAAGTTGGAAAAACGGAACAGATCAACTTCTACCTCCTGGTCACCCTCTCGATAGAGTTGGACCACCTCTGCCTGGTGAAAGGCGGCGTGGTGGGTGCGGTTCACCTCGTCTCGGCGGTAGACGTCGCCGATGATCATAAACTTGCCACCATCACTCCCACCATCCTTGAAGCACCGCTCGAAGCACTGGTGCTGGTGGGCGGAGGTGTGCCCTCGCAGGACGTGCCCCCGGTCGACGTAGAAGGTGTCCGTTCGGCTGCGGGAGATGTGATCGGGTGGGACGAGGATCGAGTCAAAGTTGGCCCAGGTAGTCACTACCGGGTCGGGGAAGTGGTGCACTCGGTGGTGGCGGTAGTGGCGGCGAAGCGATTCGGCTACCAGGTAGATTGGATTGCCGGGCCGGCGGTAGAGCTCGGTGCCGATCAGGTCGAGGACCTTCTCCGGCAGGTTGGTCCACTCGTCGGTGCGGTAGCGGGCGCCGAGAATTTGCAGCTCGGTGCCGGGGAGGCGGTGTTCGCCGACGCGTTTGAATTTGGAGCGTCGAGGCTGAAGAAGTTGTGGTGGGTGTGGAGTTTGAAGAAGAATGAGGTTCGATTTTGGAGGTGCACAACTCCAAACGGAAGACCACGACCTGCTGAAGAGAAAGGCTGCAGCTGAGCAGTTGGTCTTCAGCAGCTGCTGAAGTCCTCTTCCTCCGCTGATAATGGTCATGATCAAGGAGGAGGTGATGATCACCAAAATCTGGAAATCTTGAAGACCAGACTGATAAGCAAAACAAAACACCAAAAACACAGCCGTCACATGTTCAGCTGGCGTTACCTCATTTACGAACAGCACTGCAAATCAAAACAAACTCGCCAGAAAAAAAGTTGTTCTACTTTTGCGTCATTCTCATTTTATTTTTTTCCAGACTAGAAACTTCCATACAAAAAGTCCATCTTTCAAATTCTTCTTAAACAAACTCCACACCACCACCACCTCCCTCACCAGCATGGGCAAGCACGAGCCGATGACGGCGAAGGCCATCGGCAAGCGCATCAAGTCGAAGGGCCTGCAGAAGCTCAAGTTCTACTGTCAGATGTGCCAGAAGCAGTGCCGCGACGCGAACGGCTTCAAGTGCCACCTGACCAGCGAGGCCCACCAGCGGCAGCTGCTGCTCTTCGGCGAGAATCCCAACCGCTACCTGAACGACTTCAGCGGCGAGTTCATGAAGGACTTTCTCCACCTGCTGAAGCGGCGGTACAGCACGAAGCGCGTCTTCGCCAACCAGGTCTACCAGGAGTACATCAAGGACCGGAATCACCTCCATATGAACAGCACGCGGTGGTGCACGCTGACCGGCTTCGTGCAGTGGATGGGCCGGAAGGGCATCTGCCAGGTGGACCACACGGAGAAGGGCTGGTTCATCACCTACATTGACCGCGACCCGGAGACGCTGCTGCGCAATGAGGAGCTGGCGAAGAAGGACAAGATGGCGAAGGATGATGATGAGCGACAGGCGAAGGTCATTGCGGAGATGATTGAACGGGGGAAGCGGGCGGCGAAGAAGGGCTCAGATGACTCTGATGAAGAAGAGGGAGAAGACGATGATCATCAAAAGGAACAGGAGGAGAAGCGAATGCTGAAGAAGGAGTCCGAGGACCAGAAGATTGCCTTCTCGCTGGCGCCCAAGAAGGCCGTTGAAAAAGTTGCTCCGCTAGGACTTCTCTCTGGTGGCCTAAAGTCGATAAAACCTTTCGGCTCTAAAAGCTCAACTTCGATTGTGAAAAAGGAGGAATTTGACGAGGACGAGGCGACTGAGGTCGAAATCAAGCCCAGCGTGCTGAACGGCCTCAAGCGAAATGTCTTTGACGACGACTTTGGGGAGAGCAAGGACGCGGTGAAGCGTAAGTAAAAAAATACTTTAGAAAGATTAAAACCTCATTTCTAAACTTTTCAATTTCCCTTAGGATCGCTCTCCAAATCCGACGACCAGTCAGCTTCGAAGAAGCAGAAGAAAAAGTCCGCCCTCGACGAGATCATCGAGGAGCAGGAGCGGTGGAAGGCGAAGAGGGCGGCTCAGCAGTCTTCTTCATCATCTTCATCCTCATCCTCATCCAAACCTTCCACCTCCTCCTGGCTCCTCCCCGACATTGTCGTCCGCGTGGTGACCAAGGACCTCGGCGCCCAGTACCACCAGAAGAAGGCGGTGGTGCTCAAGACGGTGGGCGAGTACGGCGCCGTCATTGAGATGCTCACCGCTGATCGGGCGAAGGTGAAGGTGGACGAGGCCCACCTAGAGACGGTGGTGCCCTCGAAGGCCGGGACGGCGGTCCTGGTGCTTCGAGGCGTCTACCGGGGGCGGAAGGCCTCCATCGTCTCGGTGGACGTCGAGCGGGAGCGCCTGGAGGTGGCGGTGGAGAATGCTGACGCCGGTGGGCGGACGGTTCGCCTTCGATTTGATGACGTCTCGAAGCTAGTGTCGTAGCCATTATCCCTCCTCTCTTCAAATACTGTACAGTTCCCTTCCTATACCTGTAAAATATGCAAACTGCAATACGACTCTCTCCCCAAATGTACTGAAAAGTTTTCCCCCTACTGTGTGACGATGATGATCACTTGGTGGTGGTGGTAAAAACCTGCGTGTCTACGTGCACTTTAGCTGCCAATGTTCGCTCATTGCTGATGTCAATATGTAATTGGGTCGGGAAAATTACCCGCCTATGATATCGCTCGGGTAATTTGATGAGTGCCTTTGCTTCGTTTTGTCTTTCTGCAGCTTTGCTTTTGAAAAAATGCAGACGACAACAACAGCAGCAGCGTCGGGCGACATCGACGCCAGCGGCGGTGTGTGGAAATAGAAAGGAGAAAAGGAGAAAACAGAAAAAGGAGAAATGGAAAGGAGGAAAAGATGAAGAGGAGGAAAAGAGTAAACTCTCGAAGTTTGATTGGCCAGAGCAGAAAATGAAACGCCTCCTTTCATCTATCGAGGGCTGAAGATCTCCGATTTAAAGTTTAAAAAAAAGAAGATCCCCATTTAGAACTTGGCTGCTGCTGTTGTACACGTGTTACCTGGCTGTCTGTGTTTTGGTGTGTACTTAAGGTGAGTCGACTTTCTCCCTCCTTTTCCTCTTTCTCTTTCGCTTTCTTCTTTATCATCACCTGCCTGCCTGATAACGGGCGTTTCTACGCTCAGCTCGACCTGAAGGACTGATCATCTCAGTTGCTTTCCATCAGCAGCAGCAGCAGCAGCAACAACAACAACAGCAGCAACAAAAACAGCAGGTGAATATTCGAGAGCTATCTGTTACGATTTCCATAAACTCGATACCGAAAGAGAAAAAGTCCTGATCATTATCTGCCCAACTAAACTCTCTGGAACTAAACTGTCACACACTATCTATCTACACTCACTAATTGACTTGACCTTTTCTTCTTCTTCTGCCTTTTGTCTTAGCAAGCGCTTACATGTCTGACGTTTTTCTCTCCTCTCTCTCTCTCTCTCTCTTAAACTTCTTCTTTTGTTGACTTTCTTCTGTCACTTCGTCACCACCGAAGCGAGAGAAAGTGCCGCCACCGCCACCAGCACCGCCACCAAGACAGCACACTCACTGCCAGCTCATGTATTGCACCACTGGTCGTCGTCGTCTTGCAGTAGCCTTTGCTGTCTGCCGTCGCCGAAGTACAGTGGCGACGATAGTCTCTTCGAAGCCATTGAAGAGTGTCTTACTTCGTTGCGGCAGCAGCAGCAGCAGTACCTGTACCTCATCAACAACACCACCACCGCTAGCGAAATCATCATCTCTTCCTCATCGGTACATCACCACCACCACCGGCGGCTATCGTCACCTCTCTTCGGCCATGTCCTCCTCTTCACCCTCTTCAAATGAGCCCTCTTTGGAGGTGATCCGCGAAACGCTGCGCTCCTTTGACGTCGAGTCAGGCCCCAGCAGCGCCGCCGGCCGCCTGGACCTCAGCATGGACGACGGCACCGGCATCGCCACCCTTTGCATCAACAGTCCGGCGAGGAAGAATGCCTGGAGCGGGGCGATGATGGCGCAGTTCAGCGATGTCCTCACAGTGCTTGAGGGCTGGGAGGAGGTGAGTGATCGGAATTTTTTTTAAGAAATTCCATCAAGAATCTCCTCTTCAGTTTCTAAAAATTCCCGTTTGTTTACCTCCTCCTCCTCCTCTTCTCCCCGCTTCTAAATACACCTATTTCCACCCACCAGGGCCGAGCGGTCATAATCTACGGCGCCGATGGCTTCTTCTGCTCTGGCGCCGACCTGAAGACGGTGCAGCGGTCGATGGAGCTCGAGGCTGCAAACTCCAAAAACTCCAACAACTCCTCAAATACCTCCTCCTCCTTCACCTCCTCAGGCGCCTACTACATTGCCACGCTGATGCACGACAACTTTCGCCGCCTGGAAGCGCTGCCCCTCGTTTCGGTGGCCCTCGTCGAGGGCAAGGCGATCGGCGGCGGCGCCGAGGTGGTGGCCAGCACCGACCTGCGGGTCTTTGCCGCCGACGCCCAGATTGGCTTCGTCCACGGGCGCCTAGGCCTGACGCCCGGCTTTGGCGGCGGCTGCCGCCTGGTCCGCCTGCTGGGCCCGACGCGGGCGCTGCAGATGATGTTGAGCGCCCGGCCGGTGGGCGTGGCGGTCGCCAAGGAGCTGGGCCTGGTGGAGCACGTCATCTCTGAAGGAATCAGCTCAGGGGGGGCCTCGCTGGGGGCGACCATCGCCTGGTACCACGCTCACTACGGCTCCATCAGCGTCCACGCCTCTCGTCACCTGAAGGCGATTGTGGGGCAGGCGGCGGCGGCCAGTCTGACAATGGCGGAGGCTTTGAAGTTTGAGGCGGCGGCCTTTCAGGCCGTCTGGGGCAGTGAGGAGCACCGGGCTAGTCTGGCGAACAATGTCAAGCATAACTGATAAGGTTAAAGTTGATAGGAACTTTTAGAAACACTCTCTGTTATTCTCGTTGATC